AGACACTTAACCCACCTTGCCTACAGTGTCTGCGTACACTGGTGTATGAATGTGTGTGTGAATGGGTGAGTGGTTCCTTGTAAAGCGCTTTGAGTGCCTTGAAGGTGGAAAAGCGCTATAGAAAAAATGATCACTGACATCGATCATCGGGATTCAGAAAGGCCAGAATAATTCTAACTGGAACTGATGCTGAGTCTGACGACAGCGACACAGAAGATGAAGCGGCGCTCTGTTTACCTCATGGATCTATGGTTTACCTCTGGTGGTCGCGGTGTTGTTCAGAAGTGACACCGAGGATGAAGAATTAAATGGATTTAGTGATTTGGAGTGAGATGGAGAGTTTGGTAAACTTGTTCTGTTTTGTTATTTATGTTATAGTTTATCTGAAGAACTGTTCATATGTGACGTTAACAGTCTGTTGTTCTCTGTTCTATTGTTTTTACTCGAACTTGCCTTTCAAGATCAAATGTCGGTTCCTGGTCTCTGATTTTATAAAACAAGTTTTCCCCCAAAAAGGCGGTGTGACTGGTGGAGGTTGGCTGGGGCGACTTATGTACTGTATTTTTTGGACTATATGTCACTCTGTAGTATATCGGGCCTCCCCAAATATATTTCAGGTAATACGTTCTTCTTCTAAAGTAACAGACACGACAAACAAAATTATGGTTGGTTGTGCGCATGTGGTGTATTGACCCACAAAAATAGCTCGATTCTCCAGTGTATTTTAGGACCCCAAATAAACCATTATGTCTCCATTTAAACACGCCAATCAATTAATTCTGGCCTTGCTTCTATATCAATGTCAGAATTTTGCTCTTGTTCCACTCATTTTTTCTAGTTTATTTCTGTAAAAATCAGAAAAATCTTGACATATCTGACCGGTTTCTACAATCTCAATAATCTGCCCTGCCGTCCTGAGGCAAAACACTCCCAAGACAAGAGAAAACAAGGGAGATTTCTTGACCCTTTATTGTTTTTATTGTATATTTTTTCTAGTCCTGTAGTTTTAATGGACTTTTTCAAATCAAATGTATTGTATTTTGTGTTTTAATGAATAATTGCGCCATCGATATCGTGTTCATTTAAGTCTATTATCCCATCACTGCTAACCTCATAGGCTTACAGTGCACTCAGATGCAGTGTACACTTTGCACTGGTCCCATTACGCTGAAAGAAAATGAAGACAGACTGCGCGCTCATTGTGCTGTTAGCGTGTGGACAAATTGCTCTGTCTGGGGGAAAGAGACACTGAAAAAAACAGATACAAGAATCGTATTATGTCAAAGACAGCGCCGCAAATGAAAATCCAAGCTCTGGTAAAGCAAAGGAGACGTGCCCATTGAGAGACCGAAAGCTAGTGTCACTTCACCGATGGGAAAAAAACAAAACAAAACAAAAAAAGAACAGTTCAGATTGGAGCTGGGATGGAGCAACTATTTACAGAAAGTAGGGGGGAAAAAAAAGCACTCCCCCCTCTCGCGAAAATAGCCGCTCTCCATTACCGCAGCCTTTGCCAGTGAGCAACGAAAACACAACAAAACAAGAAACAACTCAATTACTCCTCCTCCTCCTTCTTCTCCTTGGTGTTCTTCTTCTTCTCCGGTCGGTTCTCAGAGGAACGCGCCCGCTTTGATCTCAAATTCACCCGCTACTGTAAAGCCGATGACGATCCCAGAAGCGAGGAATCCAAAAGTGATAAGGGCCCTCGCGAGTAATGGAGTTAGCGCCGCGATGAGCTGTTCTATTACCAACAACAAAACGGAGAGGGGAGAAAACACGCGAGCTGAGTCCTGCAATACAAGAAGGGTGCGGGGGTCATTATAGAAGTGTGTGTGTTTAGTACAAGAGTCTTTTTCGCACGCAGACCCCCCTGTGTGATGGGAATAGTTATCAGGTTAGAAAAGCAGTGTTGTCAGCAAACTAGAAGATAAGAGGATCCCCGGGCCACACATGTCCTCGCGCAGGAGAACGGCTTTATGTAAATGGGATCAGGACGGAGATACAAACCTATTTTAGTGCCCGAGAGGAGCCACTGCTAACAAATTAGATAAGAAGGCTGCAGTGTGTGTCTGAAATGTGACTGAAGGTTTTTAAAAGGTCCTACATTACGCGAAATAGACTCT